GGTTACAACGATAACTCTTTTCCACCTGATCATTCCATACGATACCTCACGGACTACCGCTTTAGTCTACCTCGCCTTAGTACGGACCGAGCCTAGAGAAGTATAGCCTAACCCCGTGTAACATAAACTATATTTTATCTACTTATAAATAACTTCTTTTTAGTCTTCCTGTTGTCTCTTCTATTCTTAACCTTTTAACGTATTACAAGTAGTCTAGTATATAGTAAGCTCTATCTGTAATATATTATAAGTTTGCCTTTAAAGCTTCTTTTTCTTCTCTTCTCTACTCTATCTCGTCTATCGCTCTTATACCTACAACCTCTAGCACTAGCTTTATAGCTATTACCATCGCGTTCGTAAAAATCTGCCCCCATATCTCTTCTCTATGTCTCTTGCCTAGCCACGCTGCATATGCCTCGTCACCTATCTCCCTAAACCCCGACTCTCCCATTGTTTGAATCCCTTTTCTTGTCAGCCGCGCTGCGTACGCTAGCGGTACTACTACATTCGGCCACTGACAACGCTTGTCCATTCCTTCTCGTGTTGCGCAGTATCTCTGACTTACCCAGCACCGCCGACAGTTGTTCCTCACGGTCCGATCCACAATCTTCCTTCGGAACTGATCAGCCTCCTCTCCAGATGCCCTCTCCCACGCCGTGCACTGCATCGCCCGGTGCCTTCTCCATTGCCCCTCCTCTCTTGTCCGATACTCCTGTCCAACGAGCCAGCATATAGCACATCCGTTTCGCAGCTCCGTAAATGTCTCCTCTACAGCGGCCCATTCCTGCGCCCAATCTACGTGCTCCTCTATCCATACCTCCTCCCCCTCTCCGCATCGATCGCATCCCGCTGCCTCAATGTCCCGACAGCTCACCCCTCTTTGATCCAAGTATGAGCTCATCAGCTCTCGTCGACATCCACTGCCAATTAAAAACTGTCCTATCGCCAGCACATCAATCTCGTCCTTCTCCCTCTCCATCGCCTTCTCTACCTCCCCATGCTCTACTAGCACCACTACATCAAATTGCTCTCCCCCTCTTCCTCCGCGACCACTTGCCTGCGCAAAGTCACTCATGCTCCACGGCATGCCTACGTGCAAGATATACACAATCCCCGCAAAGTCTACCCCCGTTCCGAGCGCAGACGTTGCCACAATCATCCCACCCCTCTCTACCCACTCTTGTAGCCGGTCTCCACGATCTACCACATCTGCGTGATAATGAGCGCACCCGAGTTCCTCTGCAATTGCCTCGCACTGCGGCTTACTCTTACAGTATACAACCCCCTTCTGCCTGCTCCGCTGCAGCCTCTCTGCCCATCGCTTACACATGAACAACGCTGTGTCCTGAAGCTTGCCACGCTGACACCACGACACAAAGTACCGCGCGTTCGGCCGTACTGTGCTTGCCCGTACGTATGTTGCGTGACGCACAAGCATACTCGACTCAAGTTCTATCTCTCGCAGCGGCGGCAATGTTGCTGTCAACATCACAATCGGGCATCCGAGCAGCCGCAAGTTCTTCACCGTTAACAGCTTCTCCCGCCAGTGCGTTGACGTAAACACGAGATGACACTCGTCAATCACGACTCGGTGCAGCAGCCCCTTTGCCTTGAGCGTCCTCGCGTACCCCAAAAAGTTGCCGCCGCTTTTAATATCGCCAGCTACGTCTGCGCTGACTACGACCACAGATGCCGGATCGTTCTCGCCGTACTTCCACTCTATGCAGTCGACGCCGCACCGCTGAATCCGCCCGACCAAGTCTTCAATCAACGCTCGGTACGGTACAACAACAACCGTTACGCCTGTCTCCTCCACGCAAGCCGGCAGCGTAAATAGCAAGCTCTTGCCCCCGCCCGTTGGAAGCACGACAATAAGCGGCGTCTGCTTCTCTAGCACAGCGTGCAAAGCCTGCTCCTGCTCTACCGATCGAAAGCCGACGTCTTGCTTGCCTAGCACCTGTTGCAGCCCCCGGTGTATAGCATCGGCCCGCGGGTCTAAGACACGGACCTCCTTCTCTTTCGGCAGCCTGACAAGCGCTGACGTGCTGTTTCGCATCGGCCTCTTTGTTGTTCTGCTCGGCTCGACGTACTTAGTTGCGCTCCCATCTACCCCCAAGAAGCGGTGCCATGCTACGCTAAGCTGCCGGAACGCATCAATCGACCGTACGCTGAGATGCTTAACGATATCGATCGGTA